TATATACACGTCACAGTAGATTATTTTGAAAAGCCAAAATGGCTGTCCGAGCACAGTTTGTATACCCATCTACCTATATATATATATATATGTATATTGACTCGGCTTTTAGCCCGTGAGGCATTAAAGCCGCTAATAATTACTTAGACCATAAAGCGTAATATCTTTATGGCAGTCCTCGGGCTTATTAATATCAATCTGATATTGCGGCCCGGCCGCAAAGAGGCCAAAAGGCCCCTCCTGCCCCCTCTGCCTCCATCCACCTCCTCGACCCGCCACCAGTGGCTACGATACGCAGAACCCCGCGACCGCTTATAGATCCTCTCGAAAATTTCTTCAAGGGGTCGAAAAGGGCATATTGGTCTTTTTTCTATTTTTCTCTTTCCTTCTCTCTCTCTCTTACCATTCGCGTAACCCCTTCCCCCAACACGCCCTCCTCCTTCTCCTCTTCGGCTACGGGCAGACTTGGCCACCCTCTTTCCCAAGTACGGTCAATATTAAATTGTGCCGAGACATGCGAAGTCGGTCCGTGGTCGCAGGTATTAAGATTATGAATCCATTAGTCGAAGATGGCCAGATGAGGTCGTAGTACTTAGGATATAAAGCACGAGCAGCCTGGCTGGGTTGTTTGATGAAAATGATATTTTTACAACTGGATACACACGCTGGGAAAGGTACTTTGATCTTTGAATTCATGAAATCGTGATGCATCACGGTACACCGTTTATATACGAGTAGGTATACCTATACAATAACGTTTCGTTGAATTTTGTACTCGAGGGATTTTTGTGTGGGCTGGCGTGACGACAGAATTTATTATTATTATTATTATTATTGTTGTTTTTACCGATCGGAAAAAAAAATAATTTTTTCGAACAATCGAAAATAAAGCGAATCAAAGTGTCGGGTGGTACGATAATAAATACACAAAAGTTTTCTTCATTATTATTATAATTAAAACGCTCGCGCTTATTGCCATCTTCCGGCAGTCATCCGAGTTATACGATATCCCCTCGTCCTTTTGCCCGGCGCGACGTAAACGTCAAATCGTTATACTCCGATCGTGACTGCCGCCGATCCTCGAGTCCGATCGCAAAGGATCGAAGAGAATCTCTATAGGAACGACGCATCGGTGCGGACATTCCTGTAATGGCCGAGCATAACTCAGATGCCAATATTTTAACGCGCCTTTACACACCTTCGCAGATAGTTTCGTTATCTGCCGACCAGGGTCTCGTTTGCCGGATATATATATATATATTGAGGTTGGGATTTCACATGGAAACTACCGGAAGGAGGTCACTGGTAAATCAGCAAGGAGGAAAATGTATTTTCGTGGATAGTCGAGGCAGTCATGTCAGTCAGCTGGTGACTGAGAGGGAAAACAAAAAAAAATCAAAATCTCATTCGTCAAAGAACCTTTAGCGTCATAATGAAATATTAACTTCAACGTTAATTAAGCGTGCGGCGTTAACGGTAATTAGTCGACGTTTGGTCTTATGACGTTTTAGCATGTATATATATGTATACATATAGATGGTCACTACTTGCTGTTTGTAACGGCGACAGTCTGTTATATCTAAAGTGTGTGTGTGTGTGAGAGAGAGAGAGAGAGAGAGAGAGAGAGAGAGAGAGAGAGAGAGACAGCATCGTGTCACGGCATCGTTTAGATTTAGACGCCTGATTTCCACTCGTGAACCCACGTACGTACGTATGCCACACGCACCCTTTCAAGTTCCTACCCGAAGAATCCGAACGTTAAATCAAGTAGCATTAACATCCACACAGGCGATGCGTACGTAAAGCGCCCGGTTAACAATGAAAATTACGTGCTTCAAGAGGAGACCGTACAAAGGATCTTTCGTACGTACAGATGCGCGTGTATGACGCAGTAGGCGAAACATACAGGGAATGGTAGGGAGATAGAGATGGATGGTAAAAAAAAACTTTTTTTTAATAAAAAATAATTTCAAGGTAAAATACAAGGTCCGCTCTGACCATTTTAGCGTGTAAAAAAAACAGCAGCTCTTTTCAGTAACGCTGGCTGGAGGGGCGGGGGG